AAGGTAAGATGACACCTGCAAGCTAGACATGTACACCTTACAATCATTCCATACACCAAATATAGCTGACCTATTGCATGCAGTATTAGAAAAAAAGACCAAAACTCAAAAACTTAACTTTGACCACTGAACCATGAAGATGAGGTCAAGGTCAGATGACACCTGCCAGCTAGACATGTACACCTTATAATCATTCCATACACCAAATATAGTAGACCTATTGCATACAGAATAAGAAAAACAGACCAAAACACAAAAACTTAACTATAACCACTGAACCATGAAAATGAGGTCAAGGTCAGATGACACCTGCCAGCTAGATATGTACACCTTACAATCATTCCATACACCAAATATAGTAGACCTATTGCATACAGTATAAGAAAAACAGACCAAAACACAAAACTTAACTATAACCACTGAACCATGAAAGTGAGGTCAAGGTCAGATGACACCTGCCAGTTGGACATGTTCACCTTACAGTCCTTCCATACACCGAATGTACTAGACCTATGATTGCTTATAGTATCTGAGATATGGACTTGACCACGAAAACTTAACCTTGTTCACTGATCCATGAAATGAGGTCGAGGTCAAGTAAAAACTGTCTGACGGGCATGAGGACCTTGCAAGGTACGCACATACCAAATATAGTTATCCTATTACTTATAATAAGAGAGAATTTAACATTACAAAAAATCTGAACTTTTTTTTCAAGTAGTCACTGAACCATGAAAATGAGGTCAAGGACATTGGACATGTGACTGACGGAAACTTCGTAACATGAGGCATCCATATACAAAGTATGAAGCATCCAGGTCTTCCATCTTCTAAAATATAAAGCTTTTAAGAAGTTAGCTAACGCCGCCGCCGCCGCCGCCGGATCACTATCCCTATGTCGAGCTTTCTGCGACAAAAGTCGCAGGCTCGACAAAAACTAGAGGCTCTAAAGAGTCTGTGTTACTCACCTGTATATTCAACAATGACCAATTTTTAGTAAAAATCATCATTAAAGGAAAATATTTCTATTAAGAGTTAACTGACAATTTCAGTCATGTTGATTTATTTGTGGACCTTATTCTGCTGATCTTTTTTCGTATTCAAAGTTTATATTTATCTATTATTGTTTCCATGTTAATAGGCAAAAAAAAAACCTCTAAAAAATGGTAAAAATTAATATTAAAGGGCAGTAACTCTAATAATGAGTCGACTGAAGATTTCGGCAAGATGACTTATTTGTAGATCTCGTCTTGCTGGTAATTTTTTTTATTGAAATTTCTATATATATGTTGTAGTTTTACGATAATAGATAAAAGTGCAAAAAATTGAAGAAAATAACCATTAAACGGCAATAACTTCAAAAAGGATCGACTAACGATTCATACACCTATTTGTAGATTTTGTCTTGCTGATCATTTTTTCTATTAAAAGTTTCTATTTATCTATTATAGTTTTCTATATGATTGGCAAAATAGCCTAAAAATGGGGAAAATCGTCATTCAAGGGCAATAACTTCTATAAGAAGTCGTCTGACAGTTTTGATGTTAATAGACAGAAAGTAGATCTCATCATTTTAAACATTTTTGATGCTGTCATATTTTCTTTATCTATAATTGTAGTTTTCAAGACAATTGACAAAAACTGCATTTTACCCCTATGTTCTATTTTTTAGCCATGTCGGCAATGTTTGTCGGCAAAAGCTCACACTGCCTCTTCGAGCCAAATGAGCTGATAAAAGATTTCCACCAAATGACGGAAAATCTATCATTTATAGGTCACCGTACTTCCTCTAACAATGAGCAAAACCCATACTGCATAGCTAGCTATAGAAGGCCACGACAAGACAAATGTAAAACAATTTAAACAAGAAAACTAACTGTCTGATTTATGTACAAGATAATAAACGAAAAACAAATTTGATATACAACATCAAACGACAACCACTGAAATTACAGGCTTCTGATCACTTTGGATGGGCACATGCAGAATGTGACATAATATAAAACTATAAAAACCAACAAAAATACCAAAAAAAAAACAACAGAAGAAAGACTTTGAAAGCTAGTTCAAAGTTAATTACATCTAATAAAAAATTATCTATTCAACACTAAAATATCAATAAGGTACACATGCAAAGGATTTAATTTAAATCGTCATAAACAGTCAGAGAAAAACACGATCTTATGCAAAGTCAAAATATAAGTATCGACAGAATGTAGTATCGTTAATGTTCATAGCTGTATAGTAATACTACTTAATTAAGTAACAAAATCAATGTTTGTACCGATTAAACAGTATTCAAAAAATTTATTACACTCAATTATACTGAGTTAAATTGATATTTTTAGATGAAGTCTATTTAAGGGTCGATAAACTTCCAAGAATAATCTCTAAATTTACGGTCCTCTATAAACAACATTGCCGTAAAAATAGGATGTGATATGCTGTTTGTAATACGTTTTTCTGCAGGTGCAACCAAAATTCCGAACCAAATAATGTGAACTATATAAACATCTTAAGATAAAGACAAAGAAACATCTACGTCCAAAAAAGGAAAAAATAACAATAGAGAACGAAAAATCGTCCCTTTTGACGAAAATTTGTGTAAAGTTTTTCCCGTTTGCAACTGAAATAAATGAATCTGGGAAAGGATAATTATTGCTGTTAATATATGATTTATTTATTTAAAAGTAAGTTTCTTTGGGTAGATTTTGGCAGTATATTTACAGAACTCTTGATTATTTAACGGTAAGTGTTGTTGAATTTAGTAATTAAATGGAACTGAGACGGATCTTTACTGAGTTTTGCCATAAACTGTGGATGTTACAATACAGGAACAAGTTTTCTATCAAAGGGGCGCAATTAATGCCCATATGAATACCTGCAACCTGTCGATAATCTGTATTGCCAAAACGTACATAGATGTTGGTAAGGGGAAAATTTATAGCTTTAATCACTCTCATCACATTTCCAGTAGGTATGTCTAGCATATTTGCCTTTTTCATTATAGAAGATATAATGAGTTGTACATGTAGCAAATGTTGCACTGAGATTGTTCAAACGACCATTTATTTAAATAGAAAACTTTTGTTTGAAAAATTGTATGGAAGTGTAGTATAGAGAGACGAAAAGTAAAAACTGTCGACCATCAAAAGCACGAAATTTACCTAAAACATTTATTTTTTTTTACTCTTCATTATTTACTTATGCCATACTACAAAAGTTAATGATAACTTCTTTGATAATAGTTGGGAACCTGTAGTTAAAACACGGAGCGGTTAGTTGAAGAACACTTATTAGAGGCCGAGATGAAACAATATTTAGGGGTTTTTTTGGCGTAATTTAGTTAACCAATACATACTAGGGACTTTCAAGTGTTCAAAAATGCCTTAATCTGATATGTGGTAATGATATGATTGTTTACTATTTGACTCATCTTTGAGCGCACGGGTCTGAATGTAGAATTTAAAATTTCCTTTTTAAGAACTATTTAGTAGTATTTATGTCATACCTGTGTCTTTGTGTTTTTATTGACGGCCAAAGTGAATATTTTTTTATAAAAGTCAGTTAAACCGCATATTTTACCAAACAAAAGACAATTATAATTGTTTTATTCCATATTCCGAGAAAAACATATTTAATGACAATTATTTTACCATACATTTTACCATATTTTTTCTTTCGGAAATAGAATAAAACAACTATTGTCTTTTATTTCGGTAAACATGTGGTTTATTAACTTTAATATAAAAAACTGATACTAACTACGATAGTTGGCCTTATTGAATATCAGGTTTTTTCCTAAATGTACTGTGACTTGACTGTTGCCCTCCAACTATTGCAGTTTATTCAAAATTCTGACCTTTTAATTATATAGTACCCAAGGTAAGATGGTTTACAAAGCATGTCCTTGTTCGAAGGACTGATCTTTTTTATTGTGAAATAGAATATTAATGCACAAAAAGTTTGACGTACCATGAATTGATTAATTCCAAGCAACAGGAATTATGATAAAACTGTAGTCAAATATAAATTATTAACATAGCGTTCATGATTTCTGATGATTCAGAATTCTGACCTGTTCACTAGACTTTTTTAACACCAATAATGTTCTCTTTTTCCTGAGGACATGCTGATACCCATAATGCATCATTGAAGCACAAATTTATATTACTACCATTAAAAGATGTTGACTTACATAACATATATATATCCTTTTACAATGAGTAAACACGATTTGCAATTTGTTTTTATTTTCTCCCTTTGCACCTGTATGACTTGACTGTGGTTTTCTACATAAGTTGGTTGAAATTTCTGACAAGTTGAACAGTTTGGTTTGAAAAAACAAATTGCAATTTGCTAAGAATTTTAAATGAACTGCAATTGGTGGGGTCCAGTGACAGAAATAAAACACCAAAAGACAGTAACTGTATAAATATTCAACTGTCACCGTCATAATGAGAAATAAAACCACATATTTACCTAACCATAAGACAATAAGTGTATAAATAGTCAACTGTCACCGTCATAATGAGAAATAAAACCACATATTTACCTAACCATAAGACAATAAGTGTATAAATAGTCAACTGTCACCGTCATAATGAGAAATAAAACCACATATTTACCTAACCAAAGACAGTTACTGTTTACATATTCAACTGTCATCGATTTAATGGGTTTTGTTTATATTTTAACATATTGTTTTAAATCTATAATGTGCATAGATATAATTCAGATGTATTTGCGATTGAGTCTAACGAGTGAATATTTATTAAGTTAAGTAGGCAATCCGCAGCAGAATAATATGTTCCGCAGAGAAGTTGCGGTATACCTTTCGAATATTTCTGACAAGCTTACTTTTATAATCTTTGTTTTTTGAAGTGAAAACATCGCTGTTGCTGCCTATCGGGACGACCACAAAAACTGAGTGCTAACAACAGCGTATATGCCAAAAAAGCAAGACAAGAGCAAACTAAAACTGTGTAAATTGATAATAATGAAGCTTGATGAGAATATATTGCACTAATAACTAAAACAAATACAAATGTTTAACATTTCAGTCTATTATGAATTATGATGTTTAGTATTCATTTTCATTGTTTGTTTGTTCGTCATCTTCTTTTACTTCAAATGCATCTCTGATTCGCGCCATTTCAACAAAACCTGGTATGAATTCTGCAAAAAGAGGAGGTAATAAATATAGAACCTGAAATTTTATTTATTTGTGAAAGTATAAATAACTCTTCAACAAAATCGGTTTTGAATAGATATAGAATAAGTTGCACTTATAATATAAGTGCACGATGGTCAATATTACAAACACGTTTGGCCTTTAACAAAAGTCAGTCCTCTTTAATATATTTGTGCTTATTTTAAAAGAACTTCCTGCATTAAAGAAAAGCTTTTATCACATTCCAGTGATCCACTGTTGTATGATACATATAGTTATTGTTGATACACATGTATTTTTCATTTATAAACTTAAATAGTGCCACGGCAACCACTGGCGTCACGAGTATGAATTCCTACACGGGCGAAATATTTCTGTAAGTGTAATTGGTATATTTTCTATTTGGATATAAGTGGTATTACCTTTCATTGGAATAAATAAGTAACAATGTTATTTTACGTAGTTAATTTATCTTTTAATTTTGCCTTTCACGCACAAAATTATCATTAATTAGGACTTGATTCAGTTTGTGCCTTAGTGAGTCGGCCGAATTAACACATAAATAAACTCCTTCATAATAACTTATCATTATCAAAATAAGGTTTTGAATATTTTCAGGAAAGCTCATGGCTTCGATATGGTATAAAAATGCATAATATGTGTATAAGTAAGTTTTAAACAAAAGCACTGTCTAACTAAATAACCACACTGATGTTTAAATAGGTGTTATACATAACTTCTTATTACAAAGAGTCTATATATGATATCTGTACAGTTTTGCCCCTGTTACATGAAAATTTTAATATAACACATGTAACATTATTTATATCGTTTACCTTCATAGCTTATTTTGTCGTCTCCATCTTCGTCGTATTTTCCCATCAGCTTTTCTAATTCTTCAGAGGTCAAGGGTTCGTCTCCAAGTTCAGTCATGATACGTTTGAATTCTTTTCTATCTATGAAACCGTCACCATTTCTATCAAATACTTTGAATGCTTCTCTCATTTCTTCCTCCAAGTTATCAACAAAATTCTTGTTTCCATTTGTTGACATCCATGATATAAATTCTTTGCAGTCGATCGTTCCACGACCTATATGTATAAATATGATATCATTGAAACTTTGATAGAAGACATAACAGACAATGACCTATAGATGCTACCATCACAGAATATACCAAATGTCATAAGTTGGAAGAAAAACAGACAATTATACCATGATAAAAAGAAAAACGACAAAAGGACAAACAACAGTCTACAAAACACATCACAGAACACTTAGGACTGAGCTACACGAAACCCACAAAAAATCGGGGTGAACACCAGAAGGGTAAGCAAATCCTGCTCCACTAGTGGCAACCGTCGTGCTGTTCATGGCAAGTAAAATTCATTGATAAGTTGCATTCAATGATGTCATATTTGAGATAAAGAGGACGGGATTATGGCATCGACAATTAGAAAATATCTGTGGTCATCTGTGACACAGATATTCCATAATGGTCAATCAAATTATAATAGCGTCGATAAACCTTTAGAATGGATGAAATTCAACTTCTTTACCAGTCTGAACCCTTGGTTCAATAACTTCGTTAATTATAAACAGCAATCCGTTGTCAAAAAATCATGATAGGAAAGTAAATGTTAGCTCTGGAATAGTGTATCAACTTTGAGTAATCAACTCCACATCCAGGCACTCTACATATGCATGGAAATTCACAATCGGAAAGCTGAAATAATTCTCTTGCCGTAAAGTTTAGCTTTTGACCGATCCCCATTGTCAATTTTTATGTGAAAGTCAAGATATGAAGCAGACTACTGTGTCTGTGGTATTAGTATCATGCATTTCTATTTCGATGAAATAGATGCGCTTAATATAAACGCTCCACTATAAAAACCAACGGAACGAATGGAAAACAACTCATTTTCCATACAGTACTTGGTACAGGCATTTTCTGAAGAAAATGGTGGGTTAAACCTGGTTGTATAGCTAGCTAGACCTTCAACATGTATGACAGTTGTTTAAAGTTCCGTTATTTTGACAAAATTTTGTGAGCAACCCAAAAGGACATAATTGGATAACGTGACAATAATTGGGGAATAGACAATAGACGTAAACTACCGATCTATGAGTACTGACCTTTTCAACTACATGTAATACACAACCATGTTATACCACTAAACCAGGTAAGGAGAGGGTTGAGCGTATTAAACCCCGAAACATTCTTGATGTGTGTCTCTAGGCAGGAGTCCGTAATTCAGAGTGGTTGTTGTTGGTTGCTGTTTGTCTTTTTTTGTTTTTTCGATTATTGTTTTAGAATAAATCAGACCGTTGGCTTTCCAGTTTGAATTGTTCCAAATCTGTATATGCCGGGGCTTTTTATAGCTTACTATATGGTATGGGATTTGGTCGTTTTGGAAGGTCGTATGGAGACATTTAGTTGCTAAGATCCTCGCTCTTTGGTGTCTGGTGAAAGTTGTCTTGGGGGCAATCATACCACAGCTCCTTATTTTCATATTGTATATTAATTTCCTCGGTGAAGCTAGTCGGTTGTAAGTGGTTGTTGGGTTGTAACTGTCTTATATTTTTATAATTCCTGTGAACCTTACTATCGGATAAAACTTTAAAATGTTATATCAGGTGATGCTTGCACAGAAAATGCTTACACTGGTGGTTTTCATATTCTCATTCAGATTTGAATTCATGCAATTCATATTGTTGTTATAACCCAACATCGACGGAGGGTGGTATACAGCTATACCTCTGTCGGTCAATCAATAAGTTCTCCGCATGAATTGTTTTTGTCGCATTTTTCCAAGAAAGGACAAATCAGAGATTTCTGAAATTTGATATCAATTTTTCTTTGCGTATGCTTTACCGCCTGATGCCTTTACATCCATCGGTCATCAATTTCCTGTTTACATTTTTATATATTCTTACACATAAAGGCAATGTTAGTACTGCCTGTTGCAATTGCTTGTTTACCGAATACTTATAGCGGAGGTATCACTTGTGAGCAATAGTTCACGGAACATCTTGGTCTGTCATATTTCTGTCAATCAGATTTTTTTTAACTATGCCCGCCTATTGGTCAGTAACTCCATGTGAGCTTGACAGGTCAACAATATAAGATTTTACATTATACCGCTCCAGCTGTCATTTTAATTTGTTTCAAGAATATATATTTTTTCATGGAAAAAATACATGAAGTTATACCTCAATTATTATTTTGTCTTTTTATGGAAACAGTTGTATATGTGGTGACCTCTAGATTTGTTAAAGAGTACATAGCTATACGGCATATGGTCTTAACTATGCACGATATTAGGCTAACACTATTTTTGTTTGTTATTCATTACCAGAACAAAAACATGTGCATCTACAAAAAATGTATTTGTCTAAAATGCAAAGGACACAATAATTTATTTATTTTTTTGTAATTTTGAACTTACCATCTTGGTCAATTTCGTTGAACATCTCTTGTATTTCTGATTTGGTCGGATTTAATCCTGTTGATCTCCACATTTTTCCTGCTTCTTCAATATCGAGTTCCTGGTCACCAGTTTTGTCAAAAAGTAAGAATGTATCTTCTAATTCTGTTTCAAGATAAATATTACCATAAAGATTTAGAACCATAAATGTTTCCATAATTCATCTGTTTCTAAAGGTATACAACACATTTTTCTAACTCGTACTTCTGTTGTGTGTCCTTTCGTATTTCTATCTTCTTCATTTGCTATTTTTTTTGTTAGACTTAAGGTTTTTGATTGTCCCCTTTGTGTCTTCTCTCTTATTTAATACTTTCACGGGAAAGTTAAATAGTTTTCTTCTATCTGTTAAATTCATTTCACTGGAATCCATGCAAAAAAGATTTTGGGATTTGGGTTAAACATCGCAAGTTACAATGTATCTCACATTGGTAATTCCTGAATCACACTTGCATGTATATATGCATGTTGAATTAATGAAATAGGAGCAGTATTCGCTATTTATTTGTTGTATTCATTTATCATAGTCAATGGTTAGACGACTTGTGTACAAAGTTTTAATTGTTCAACAATTTATTACAACTGAAAGAGACACAAAATATATCATTGTTCTTACTAAGTCGGCTATGCTTCTAACGTACATTTATTTACTTTTTTCAGATCTTTTTATTTCGAGAAAGTGGTGCAATAATTGTCTTTCTCAACATTACATAGGATTAAATAGAGTGGGTTCTTATCAATATAATGATCTTTATATGTATATTCTGTTGGCTCTTATCTTTGCCTTCAGTTCGTATGGTCTTATCTATACCTTATATATGTAAATCCTGATATACCCACGAATATAAATACAGACAATACGATGCAATTAAGCCGGAAAATAAGAGAAAGCGCATATTGTTTTTATATTCTTGTAAAGGATCAGAGGAAAGGATTTATTTAGAAAAAATGTGATGTTTACTCCCTCCTTTTGGCAGAATATTATGGCAAATGAACTCAAAATTTTGTTATGGAAAGTAATAACGTTTGGAAATGAGATCATAACCATATGTAAAGAGAGGCGAAAGATACCAAAGGGGCATTCAAACACATAAGTCGAAAATAAACTGACAACGCTATGGCTAAAACAGAAAAAGACAAACAGACAAAGAATAGTACACAAAACATAACATAGAAAACTAAAGATTGAGGAACACGAACCCCACCTAAAACCGGGGGTGATCTCAGGGTAAGCAGATCCTGCTCCACATGTGGCACCCGTAAATGTCACAAACGATGATAGTGGAAATAGGGAAAACAGTATGCATATAATATCTCGTCTAACGAGGTTCTGTGACTAAATTATCTTTCTTATTACATTCTTTTAACAATCAATAGAACTTAAAAATAAAATAAGTTTGCTACGGCTTAGTGATGTCGAAAGTCAAACTAGCCTCCATGAATTTTGAATAGTAAAATATAAAAGAAATTAATATTTAAACTCGCTTATCTGAAAGAGAAATATTTGTACTTACATTACTGTGTTAACTTAAGGGATAAGTAGGCTATTTTTATATCATAAAAGGTCAACAAATATTCATATTCGCAACTGTAGTACATTTATCTCAGTCGCTTTTTTCACTAATAATATCTTTCAGTCTAGATCTAATAAACGTATCTTACCCTTTAGCTGATCTTCTGTCATTGCCTAAAATCCAGATGAAAGTTGATTTAAATTATACAATGAATATACTGGTTAACATTGGATAAACGTCAATGACATAAAAAAAAAATATAAAACAATAATATGAACATCTAAAAGACATTTTGTGGCCTTCAGTGACAGTCAAGTGCTTCTATCATATGCCAGCTTCAAATCGATTGAGTTTTGACAAATTGTCAAGAATTTAAGAGGTCTACAAAAAATCAACTTAACGAATTAACTCAATGTAGCTGAACTTGCTAGCCGTTTACATATAAGCTTGTATATAACTAAAATTTACGTGTTCATTGTATACACAATTTACATTCAGCGTTAATATGTCTTTAATTCACACAAAAAGTAATAAATTGCTTGTGCCAAAATATATTAAATTTGGATCATTTGGACATATATATCTAGTCGGACTGTGCAATGGAATATGCCAACAGGTATATACAAAACCAAAAAAAAAAATAAAACAAAAAACCAGATACACTGCAAAGTCATTTATGAAATATGTATCAAAGTTGTCGTAATGGCTATGGGTTATTCAAATTTCAAGCTTAATACAATTTCAAAATTTATCTCACTCAATATTAACAAGTCGCATACAAGTTCAATACAATCTAAAAACAGAACTTACCATTTTCGTTAATTGTGTTTGCAGTTTAAGCGTCCCAAATTATGCTCTCAGTCTGTAAAATACAATATGTAATGGTTTTAACAAAGCATCATTGTAATTATTATTGGATCGAATTATATATTTATTCCAAGAAAAATAATTCTTTAATGTTATAAATCCTACCTTATATTATGATACCCGTGTCATCGATTGATAAACTTTAATCACTTAAGTATAAGTTCATGTCAAAACTTTCTGTAGTTTACCATTTAAAATTATAATTAAAAAAAGAATTTGAATATTCTAACAATCATCTTAACAACTGTTGCTATTTATCATAATACTTCTTTCTTTCTACTTGTGACAATATTTGTGTTTTTTAAATCTACAAATATTCGTGTAATATATAATTGTCGACTTTATAATACTTAAGCGAACTTTTTTTTTAAATGGGCCCATATGATAATACGGTATCATTATACATTTACTTATAAAAACTGGTGTTGTTATATACTATTTCTTACTCATTCTTCACCGACCTTTTTCTGAATTTCACCAGCGTTCAACGCTACCCAATTAAGCATATCTTGCTTCATAACACCATATTAACACTTGGAGCCCCTGACACCTCCCGGTTTGTGTGGGGTTCGCGTGATGCTCAGTCTTTAGTTTTCTGTGTGATGTTTAGTGGACTATTGGTTGTCTGTTCTTCACTTTTATTTTGACCATTGTGTTGTCTTTGTATCTTCGCCTATGGTTTTTCGCCTAAGATTTTGATTACCCCTTAGTAGCTCTCCGTTTCTAAGTCCTGTAGTTATCTTTTTAACACGATACAGGGACGGCGCCTCACTAATATATGTGTACAATTTTAAATACGTTTGTCAGTCATCGTCTATATGAATTACAAATGTAGCAAATGCCACTATAAACGCCACTCTTATTTTTGTTTTCAATCCATTGAAATTTTTTAGCGTTGGAGCCACAATTGTTGATTGGGGTATACAAATATGGCCATGACTGGACTACCAAAATCCGATCGTAAACCCATGGCTGTTAATGTGGGATATCCGTTTGACTGGGGGATGAATAAATATGCAGCCACGTCTTGTCTGAATTATGGTGTTAAATTCGATGCCTCGTGTATATAATATTACAATGTCTGCATGCCAATTTTAGAACCCTTGTAACAACTCTTTGAGGGGTCTATAAGAGGCATGCTGCAAGGCAAAATTTCTGTTTGTATCCAAGGAACCCTCATTTTCCATTGGCACTCGAAATTCCTGTCATTAATCCCGGTCGACCCATTATGCAAAATCAAACTATTGAAGTTATTGTTAATATGTTCTCGTCCTGAATATGCATGAAATATTTGCCACTGAACGATAAGTAAACAACAACAATCAAGCAATTGTAACCATGATTCACACACAAATGTGAAAGTATGAGGTAACATATGTTCTACTGATGCTCCCAAATCGCTATATGAAAAATCATAATACCAAGAGGGAATATCGACAATGCCAGAACCAACAGACAAACAAACAAACAACAGTCTACGAAACACTACATAAACGATTAGAAACCCCGCCAAAAACAAGAATGAAATTTCGGGGTAAGCGGACAGAAAGTCACAGGACAAAAAGTCACAGCACCGAAAGTCAAAAATTAATTGGACAAAAAACTCACAAATAATTCGTTTATTAGTTTGATCATTATTGATTTTATTTAGAATACATTTTGTCTACAAAGTTGTTTTATATATAATAGTTCAAGAAAATTCCAAAAATGTTTTTTTTTTTAAATAAAATTTTTTTATTCAAAGAAAAATAATCTCACACTGAATTGTGACTTTTTGTCCCTTGACTTTTTGTCCGTAACTTTTTGTCCGTGACTTTTTTGTTTGTGACTTTTTGTCCTGTTGACTTTCTGTTCTGCATTCAAATTTAGAAGGGTTATTAAACCCTGCTCGACTAGTGACATCCTATTTATCCGATGATAATATGTCTCAATCATTTAGTTGATTGGACATCAAAATCAGGTAAAATGCTTATACATATATTTATTTATTTGTTTTTGTCTTCCTGCACTGACATAAAGATTCGAGTCAAACATTACAATAACCGAATTTACAATAATTTCTTAATTCATTAGTGGTTTGATGTTTGTTAATCTAAACTATTTCCAAAACTACCAAGTGTTTAGATATATTGTAAGATTGGCACAAATTAAGACATTTGTTAACAATGCCCAATTGATGTGGCTGATTTTCAAGTGACCAATTACGATATCTACAAAAAGGCTGGGTTGATAGAATCATCATGCTAATAACGCATCCTTCTCTAGTTTCATGAGACATGCTAGACACTCGATTACAAAACCCTTATTTTATAATTTGGATTCGTTCGCTCTCTCTTGAACAGTGGGTTCTACGCAAGCGGAGTTACTCTTAAAGTTTCATTCACTTGAGTTTGTTTTCCTATGAGGGGTGGGGGACACCTTCTGAGTGTACATAAAAATGTTTTAAAATTGTTTTTTAAAAGACTTTCAAATATAAACAAAAATTATGAGTTCCTCTTTTTATCATTCTTGAATCATCCCGCCCCTACCGACCTCCCTTAATTAATTGAAATACATGCAACACTTCTATTATCACATACCTGTTTAGCTGTATTTCCGAGTCTTGCTAGAACAGTATCGATCCGGTTATATACTGTATTCTTTAACTTCTCTATCTACAACGAAACTGAATAAAATATCAAAGAAAGCACCTACGATTTCCTACATACAGTAAACATTTACTTCAGTTTCTAGGTTATATTTTCTCAGGTAAAGCAATTAACTAAATGTAGATCGGGTATTGTATTTTTATGACTATGGAAACGGGAGACATAATCCATCTTTTCCAGTTGAAGCAATTGTCCTAATGTTGAATGGAGTCTTATATTCTACGGGTTGTTATTTCACCCGGAATTGACTTAGTCCTGAATAATTGAAGTAGAATTCATGTGATACAAGAAAGTGATATGTATATAAATATATTTATAAGTATTGGAAAATGTGAGCAAGTCTTATATGCATGCATATGATCAATAGTGTATTGATAATAATGCAGAATTTAAACTCAAAATATCATTTTAGACACAAAAGCAACGTTTGTTTAAAACTTATTTTATGCTTGATTCCATATTGATTTAACTTTCTTTTGTTGTAAAATGTTGCACTTCAAGTGAAGAAATAAACTTGATAGGCTCAATTCTAGACAGGATCAGACGAACGAGACTATACACACGTAATTGATGTTTACCTGCTGGTTTCAGACCTAATATTTTGACAATAAGAGCAATCCTCTGACTGATAAATAAAGGAGTTATAGATAATTACATTTTCGAAGCAAAAAGCCCGATTCGGGAGATTTTACAATGATTGATTGTTGTTTGATAGCGTTCAGTGGCAAATATTTCATACGTATTCCGAACGAAAATTAATTACCAGTAAATCATATTTTATCCTCAACATGTGTGAAGATTCTATGAAAAAAAACTATGTGGGTTTTTTTTAATTCACTATCACTCTATCAGAAGCAAACAGTTATGGTGTTCCATGTTCCACATTCGTGTCAATGGATGTCAAACAGTTATGGTGCTCCATGTTCCACATTCGTGTCAATGGATGTCAAACAGTTATGGTGCTCCATGTTCCACATTCGTGTCAATGGATGTCAAACAGTTATGGTGCTCCATGTTCCACATTCGTGTCAATGGATGTCAAACGTGCGGGTACACGGAAGAACATTCATAACAACTGAGTTATTTCATGATGAAAATGAAATATTTTTATCATAAGCAACATAATGTGCCGATTTTTACGGAACACCTTCACTAAGATAAAAGCTACATGGCACCAAAAGCACCTTTAATCAAAAATGTTTTTACAAATATTTAGATGCCTTTTCGTTTTTATTTTGTTGGATTGTTGTCTCATTGACGTAATTTCCCACATCACCTTTTATTCATATTAGATCATCAAGGCTTTTAAATGAAACCAATGCTGTGCACTTTAGTATATTAGGGGCATTATATTTGCGAATGTAATACTCTGCCGATGACCCATTTAGCCCTTATGCTACACTCTTCGATATTTGAATGTCCATATTAATTTTGCTGTGAGCAACAACAAAACAACCCCTCCCTTTTCATCCCAACTTTCTGTAGTTATTTAACATATTGAAAATGTAACTATGTTATTTATACGAATGAAAATGCCTACATGTATACAATGTAACACTCGTTACCACCAGCCTAATATGCTCTATGGTCACCCTTTTTCAATTGTATAAAACAATCTATTCAAAACGAATTAGAAAATGTTTAATGTTTATCTTGAAAATAAAGTGACCATAGGAAGTGCTGATGTATTTTGTAATATTTTATTGAAAATATCAGAATTTCAAAGTATATTTGCAAAGTCAGTATCCTCATAATTTTGCATAAGTTTCTTTTTTATTTTGTGTGTTTGTTGGCTGTGTAAAAAGTAAAATAACAAAAATACCGAACTCCAAGGAAAATTCAAAACGGAAAGTCCCTTATCAAATGGCAAAATCAAAAGCTCAAACACATCAAACGAATGGAAAACAACTGTCATATTCCTGACTTGATTAAAGTGGAGTGTCGAATATTGAATGAATACTGAGGACAATGATAAGGTTATAAATATCCTAAGATTATATCCTGCTTCGGTACTAAACCGACACGTATAGGAGGTTAAACGTGCTAGGCTACAAGCAACAGAACCAAGTCAATATGTAATACGTCATAAATGAAGGTTCACTACTACAATCCGTGGCATATTTCGACTTATGAGTTTGAATGTCCATTTGGTATCTTTCGTCCCTCTTTTGGAGTATTCACGCTCGTTGTAAATGAAGAATTCTCATTTCGTAGTGCCAAACACGTATCTTGCAGAAAAAATGTCCTCTTTTAAGCAATATTGATTTTTCAATTATTTATAATGTGTTGTTTTCATTTTTTTATAATTAAAGAAATAAAAAACTGCCAAATATCTTGCAAAAACATACCTTACAATTAGTACTGCATCCAATAATCAAAGATAGGTAGGTACAAAACACATGGTCAAAATTGCCTGTCAACTTACTGACAAAAAACAGCCATTGATTTGAAACGATTGGAGCACTGTGACAAGTCAATATGTAATACGTCATAAATGAAGGTTCACTACTACAATCCGTGGCGCATTTCGACTTATGAGTTTGAATGTCCATTTGGTATCTTTTGTCCCTCTTTTGGAGTATTCACGCTCGTTGTAAATGAAGAATTCTCATTTTGTAGTGCCAAACACGTATCTTGCAGAAAAAAATGTCCTCTTTTAAGCAATATTGATTTTTCAATTATTTATAATGTGTTGTTTTCATTTTTTTATAATTAAAGAAATAAAAAACTGCCAAATATCTTGCAAAAACATACCTTACAATTAGTACTGCATCCAATAATCAAAGATAGGTAGGTACAAAACACATGGTCAAAATTGCCTGTCAACTTACTGACAAAAAACAGCCATTGATTTGAAACGATTGGAGCACTGTGACATTGAGAAACTACAAACATCACAACACTTGTGAAAAAAGTAATTTCGAAGTTAATGCGAAAGACAGTTTCTCTAAGCAAAACCTAGGGGAGTGGAAACATTCTTAGATCATCTTGTCGCCATAAGATTTGAAGGAATGGGGATAAACATTATCACCAACAACTGTTTTTAACCGTTTTGATCAGATATGAAAAATCTATAATTAATTGATGATTGTGCTCACTATTATAAGTTATATGGTTCGCTACTGACCCCCTACGGATCCATAGAGGGTGAGTAAAATCCATAGGGGGTGAGGCCGAAGGCCGAATCCCCTGTGGATTTTATTCACCCTCTATGGTCCGTAGGGGGTCAGTAGTGAACCGTATAACGAATTTATCGTACGCGAGACTTTTTCTGCAGCGTTTTGTAGAAAAATAAACAATGAAATACAACAACATCAATACATGACGTCACCATTAACAGTAGACATGACGTCATGAACCCACTATGAAATTTACTAACCCCCTACGGATCCATAGGGGGTCACCACGTGACGGCGTTAAACCAGTCACAACGTAATAATTTACCCGCGGTGCGATAATCCTATTTATTGTCTATGTATTGTACCCTTGGTATCTTCTTACACATTTTCCTTTCTAGTCCGAGATTACTCTAACGTCCAACGGCTGTTTTGCCAGACAAGATGGGGCCGGACCCACGGCCATAGCTTGTCTGACAAAACAGCCGTTGGACGTCAGAGTAATCTCGGACAATATCCTTTCATATTAAAATCATTTAAAAACGGAATGGTGATTCATTCTATTACTTCAAAGAATGCTAATAAATGTATTTTATAACGCCCTATGTTGTACATTTTATTAACATAGTCATTTATTGTATAAAAGAGGGACGAAAGATACCAGAGGGACAGTCAAACTCATAGATCGAGAACAAACTGACAACGCCATGGCCAAAAATAAAAAGACAAACAGACAAATAATAGTACAGATGACAGAACATAGAAAACCAAAGACTAAGCAACACGAACCCCACCAAAAACTGGGGGTGATCTCAGGTGCTCCGGAAGGGTAAGCAGATCCTGCTCCACATGCGGCACCCGTCGTGTTGCTTATTTTATTACAAATCCGGTAAATAGTCTAATTCGGTAAGTCACATTCGTGAAAAGGGAGGGTATTGTAGTTACGACATAAGGAACATATCCGATATCATCTGTGAAACGGTTATTCCATAACGGTCAACCAACTCGTGATGGCGTCCGTAAAATTTACGAAGGGATGACTTCAACCTCACCATTCGGAACTCTTGGTTTAATAGCTTCCTTGTGAGCAGCAATCCTCTATCAAGGAAATCATGATAGGAAACACAATAAAATATAATAAACATTTCATTGATGATATGTTTTAAAACTATTAGATCGCTACTGAGTGGAGATAATAATAAACCTTTTATAGGTATAGGTTAGTCAATACTTGGTCATGTTTTATGAATATTAAAACCCAAGGCGTAGCCAAGTATTCATTTGTCTGACCTATACGTATTAGTATGATGCGATTTATTTAAGTTAATATTTTATAAAGCTGTATTTTTAGTACAATCTTCAGCATTAAAAATGTCAATTAAGAACTATGGAACTTTTGTTTATGTGGAACTTGATTAAAAGACAAATCGTTTGCCTACTAATGCGTTACCGTTAACTCTTCTTACGATATTCCAGCAAAATCTTTTTTATGTTCTGATATAAAAACAAGAAAAATGTGGTATGATTGGCAATGAGACAATTCTCCACTAAAGACCAAAATGACGTAAAAGTAAGAAACTATAGGGGACCGTACGGGCTTCAACAATTAATCAAACCCATACCTCCACATAGGAAGCTATGAAGGGACTCGACAAAATGTAAAACAATTCAAACAAGAAAACTAACGACCCGATTTATGTACTAGATAATAAACGAAAAAACAAATATGATATATATAGCAACACACGACTTCCACTGAATAACAGGCATAGCATAGATATAAACAGATGGTACATATTGCCAGAACTTGTTTTTCTTAGTAATGAATTTCATTTCACTATAATATGTACAAAACTAAATACAATTAGAGAACAATTATTTTCCAAAATTAGTGAAATAGTTCCCTCTTTTTTAAATATGACTAATGAAGCAAGATTTAAATTTTTGTATACCTGTGGTGAGACTGATATAATTAAAATTATTGTAAAATTCATAAGCACCATGTGTAATTCTAGAAATGCTTTATTGAGTACTTAATAACTTTGTGGTACCACCTCCTCAGCAGAGATTATATACATTCATTTATTATTTTAACAATATTTTCTTTTAATAATGGAGGGGATATACAGTTATATATATAATGTTTATAAATGTGGTCAGATTATGTTTGTATGTTTATGTATAGTCAATGTTTATTGTCTTGGTAACAATCCTATAATTTTGGATTTTGAACCAATAAAATTATCTTAATATCTTATCTTAGTAATGTTTTATTACAAAAATTAAGGCTTCTTGAACTTTGTTAATTTATCATATCTTATGGACAGCCTATCTCTTTTTGAACTTTTAAAGTTATAAACATTTTAGTCAATGTAGTGTTCATGGTGCATTGAGGTTTTTTATAAAGCTGTATCATTACTTTCTAGTGTTTGTCAATATGGAGGATAACATGTACATTGATTGTTAAAATCTTTTTATATTACAAATCTGTTCTGCTGGTAAATCATGTGTGTCTTTCAGACTCGGTACGTGCGTAAATAACTGAACAACTGCATTTTTGGTATTTATTTGGAAATACACATTGGTTTTTATATTTGTATTTAACAGTAGTAGGCAATGTAACATATACATGTATACGCTTTATGATACTGATGCTAATGCCTCAAAGTACAACCTGTTTAGAACAACATGTGTAAAATAAAAAAGTAAAATATATGTGTACAAGGTCTAAGACTACAAATTGTTTACAATTGTCTTATTTTTTTCTCCATATGCATTTTATATAAAACATATGCTTTTGAGATTACATTAATGACCTACATGTACTTTTACTAATCTGTATCCTTGAATGCGCATATTTTAGATAAGTACATATTTAAACTATACTATAGTGGCATGTAAATGAACCACTTCTTGCATTTAAATTCCATTTACGTAGTCTTATGCAAAGCAAAATAAAACACTAATTATGGTTTACAAATGCTGAATACAACACACCTCGTAGGGCATATGGTAAATGTCATTACTTATGAGCTAATCTCTCAACAGCAACTTGGTCGCAGTTTACTTTGACATCATTTGGACGAATTCTGAAATTAAGATAACATGATGATTAAGTTACATTTTCGAGTAGAAATAAACTCAAAAATAGTTCCATTTGCCAAGTAGATGGTATTCGAGTTTGAATATGATAATCATGATAGTATATATATATCAATTGTCAGTTGATAATATTTCTAATATATTCGTAGAAAATTACTCAGATTGATATATGCATTTGGATATGCACACACGTAATGATGTACACATTACTAAGGGTGTATGTGTTAGTGTATATTTAAATGTCGAATGGATTGATTGCTGTTTAACACATAATCGTTCCTCATGTATGCTGCTCAATATTTATTTTTTTTTCATCATTTTTTCTTCAGTTTTCTGTTTTGTACGACTCGTGTTTTTATTGCCCTCTTGGTATATTCTTCCCTTTTTAAACAAAGGGGGCGGGGCAACGAACACGTGGACCATATATTGATCCCTTTTTAAACTAAGGGGGCGGGGCAACGAACACGTGGACCATATATTGAATGGAGAACATTCAAACAATTTGATACTGATGAATTTATATTAAAAAATGTTTAGTGTAGGTTAGCATAAATTCGTATCAACAGATTAAGTGCTTAGAGCTTACTTTCAATAACATCGAGCATTCTTACGATTTTATGTAGATTGTTTATAATGTTTGTATTTGAGTTTGAATATGCTAACTTTTATTATACCGTGGTTTGAATTTAGTGCTTCACCTGTACGGATTTTATTGCATGTTCTTGTGTGTACCTGTGGGTAGTATACCGACCGAGGTTCAAGTAAAGAGGGGGTTGACATCTACATGTATATGTAATTAAAAGTCCAGTCCACAACCCAAACACACATGGAAGTCATCTCCGTAATTAGAAAATGAAATTGTTAAGTGTTTAGCCCTACTACAAATGTAATCATATTTCATTGGAAAAATTTTAATTTGCAGGCGTATTAACCTGTAAATTGTTATTGTCGAGGGATTGGTAAAAAGTCCAACTTTTTATATAGATGTGAAAATTGAATATGATGTTATGATCATATTAAATTCCCATTGATCATATACCTTTATAATTGATTTCACCATCACCATCAAGATCAACTTCTTTGATCATTTGTTTGATTTGTTTATCCGATAGTTTATTTCCTACTTTAGCCATAGCTTTCTTAAATTCTTTCATAGTTATAACTCCATTGCCATCCTTGTCAAATTCTCGAAATGCGTCACGGAATTGATCGGTTGTTGCTGGGGATTTTTCTGTTTCTTCCGTCGACATCATTGTCAAGAACTCTTGAAATTCTATGGAACCACTATCTTTAAAAAACGTATTTGTATTAAGTTATACTCAATTTTTATTTGTAAAACAATACAAGTTGGAATAATTAAGACATCTGATTACAATTGAATTCTCTACGAAATGTATTTTTACTTTTCAAAACCGAAAACAATGTAAAACTTTCTGTAACTTATACTTTAGCTTTGTCATCAATTGTACAAATATATTGGTAATTATGAAATATATTCAGAATGAACAAGGTCATTTATAGCTTAACACTTAAATACAGTGACAATCAATTCATCAACGGTTCCAGTTACAAATTTTACACGCATATACAATTATGCAATATGTGCAGTGGGTTGCATTAAACTTCCCAATAAGCCAATCGTTTTAAGTTTACGTCGTCATGACTCAATTAATCGCTACGGAATATCTGTGTCCAATATGATCTTTGTTATATTTGTACCATTTATGTGTCGTGGCTATAAGTCTGATTATCATTGCCTATTTTATAACTTATCGCCAATTCGGTTTGGTCACCGGAATTTTACCTGTTATGTGTAACACAACAGGTTCCATTAGAAGAGCAGGAACTGTTTACAATTTCGGTGCGTAAGTATTACCCACCATTGTATGGGGGTTCACGTTCCTTTTGGTTTAGTTTTCAGTTTTGTTATATTCAAAATGTCTGGGTTTTTTTTCATAAGTCGTAGTTTGTTTTCTATCCTTATATATTACTGACTTATAACTATGTATATTCGTCAAAACTTTCCCTTTTGTTCATTCTTCGGAGGTGCCTTTTTTTTATAGCATTTATGAAATAATCGAATTTATCTAGTAGCACGACCAATGGCAAGAGTGTAGCAACCAGAGTATACGAGCTAACCCTCGATAGTTGGTCTGATTCCAATTGCTCAGTCTTTTATACTCTATGTTGAGTTTTTGTTGGATGTTGCCTGTAGTCTTTAGACCATAGTGCTGTCTTACATTGTTAAACTTATTTTATTGTCCTCTTTTTTTTTTATCGTAATAATGTTTTTTTCCTCAAATATTATATGAATTTTATTTCAAAAGCTGACTATGAAACTGTAACAGCATACAACTGTACAAAGTGATTTTCGGTTTCTATAATCACCTACAGTTATAATGTACGGTTCAAAATGGCCGATACAAAAGGTCACTAAACGTTACTCCCTCCCCCAAAAATAAATAAGTGGATAATTATTTTATTACACAAATCTGTTCGCCTAGAATCAAATTATCTTATGTTTTGGTAACATTACCTGCAAAATACATTGAAATTGAAATCTTAGTATTATTATATCTGTCATTTTAAAAATGTACTTGAGTTTTCATCTACTTCAGAGTAAGATTTTTTATATTACATGTATATTGTTATGTTCATAAAATACTTGCTCTTTCTGTTTTAAACATATGTAGCTTTTTCCTCGCACTAAATGAGCATACTTTGATACGCTGTAGGTACTCTGAAAAGATCTTTTACACGTTAAAAAATGTTTTGTGTTCATTTTTCTAACAATTTATACATACTATCGTGATCTACCCTGATCATTATTCTTTGTACTTCAGCATCAGATGAATCTTGTCCTACAGATTTCAGAAACGTCCTTAGTTCTTTACAAGATATTTTCCCATCCCCATTTTTATCGAAGTTCTTAAATGCTTCTTTAAATTCTGTAAATACATTATTATAATTGATATCAAAGCAATTAAACGTATATCGGTAAAGCCCATATCCAACTAAAACATAAAAAATTTTCACATATGGTATTACTTAGTGCTGCTATCATTGAAAGAATAAAAAAGATGATTTAAATTTCCCATTATCGTTCTGAGATTTTGAAAGTGTTAAAAGCTCCTTGTTTTTTTGTGCCGATATCTTCGACTTATTAGTTTTGGTTGACCTTTCTTCTATCTTCCACCTCTTTTTGTTAACTGCTGAAGTGTTTTAATGATCTATAATTTACAATCAGGAACAGAACATTCAAATTGATGACAATATATAATAGATGGGTTGCACATTTGTAATTCATAGATGACGCATTTGTTATAAATTATTTTATTTTTACCATTTAGGTTGCCAAAATGCCACACAATTTTGTTTAATATTTCTATTCCTGTGTTTATATTTAATATTTGTACGAGTTGGATTTTTTTAAATGTTGTCGTTTAATTTTGATATAGAATATGCACTTTCGAAGCGATTGTTGATACATAACCAAAATTAGATCTTCTCATGGGATCATTGTTATGTTCTGACTGTTTTTAAGTCACCGTTGTAGACCTGCCATCAATTACCGAGATGAATGTGGTGTTTCTGGAGTATGTTGATGATTTTGTGTCTTTATGTATAATGCATTTGCACATTGTTCCATAAAACATCAGAACTATATTCTTTTTTTTTCTCCATTCAGCTAAAATTGACATGCTGGTACGTACAGATGGTATAATGAAATGAATATAAAATTCTGCAGTTTTTCTGGACATATTGTCTGAAACATTCTCATTTCTAAAGCGTGAAATGAACAGATCCTCTTTTGTCTCGTTCCCAGGAAAATGTCTGGTCTATTATAGATTATTCTTATTTCTATATTTTGAAGAATAAATAATGCCTAATTATTCGTAAGAATAAATCCTTGCACACTCTTAACAAACCAAAAGCAAGACATTGCTGTTGGTGATTTTTGTTATCTTTTAGTCCGTGATGCCTTCAATTGTATGCAAAAGCTCACATCAACTAGTACTGTAAGCTACTAGACCCAGTTTAATCAAGTGTATACGGACACCATGTACATACATATATTGAAGAACATATAGTATGTGTTCGGTAGCATCAACGAAATAAATATTATAACGGGCAAAGAGAGATAACAATTACAGTCATTAATTGCCCGACAGCTTCATTCAAAATGATCAGTCTTTCTTCAAACGTACAAGGAGATGCTAACGAATTTAAAAGATAAGTGAAAATTGTATATAAAGTAGTTCTTGTTTAAAAGGAATGCACATAAAACTAACCACAGAATGCGCGTAAAAATACCCAAAAATGTAGACATTCATTTATTTCTGTTCCAAAACCACTTGGAAGAAAATCTATTGAATCACTGTGACAGTCCTTCACAATAAGAAGTGCAGTTTGCAATGCTCGTAGCTCGCAATTATATATCAAAACATAATTGTAAATGATTTTAGTAAATGCAGTATACAATAATTTCGGATGAAAAAGGCTATAAAGGTTTTAAGTTTCGTTAAATTGGTTAACGATCCAATGTAGTAATATGTACTGCTTGGGTCAAGAAACTTCTGTAGTTTTTTTGACTAAATGGGATTATATAACTGAAAGAACGGTAATGTATATTATCGAATCATTGGTCCTAAGTACGTGACAAAATTCAATAACTGAAAGTACATATGCATTTTAATATGTTGAAAAAATCGTGAAACTTGTATACCTGTGCAGTTAAATAATTAGTTCTTACCTTGCACTTGGGCTTTCGTTAGTTTTGATTTTCCATCAGCCTGCACAAAACAATTTAATTCAAAATAAGTATTGTTAGAACTTGTCATTGGCTTTGAATTAACTTTCAGTACCTGCGAGTAGTCTAAGACTAAGATCAGTACTTTGTGTCTTTTGTCTTTATGTTAGTTGTGTTTAGTACTTCGAGCCTCGCATTTTAAATATTTAAAATTTAACTGTGGAAAGCGGATAAATATAGTATTGCACAAGATTTGGCGGTAGAATCTGTTTCTCTAATGATTTTTAGACGATATGTAGAAGTTTTTTCCAATGATCTGCAAAAATATGTGTTCTTTTTATATAACGTCATCAGACATGGTCGCCTTTTTTTCGTGTCGTCACAATCATTCAGAGGAACGCAGGAAAATTTGACGCTATAATTGAATTTTGTCCAATGAAGAACTGAGATCAAACGTACCACACGTTGATTAAATAAAAATAATTAACAGGCCAGGAAAAGGATAAATCGGTTTAGAATTAGAGAAAGTGTTTTATATGTTCCTGTCCCAAGTCAGGAATCTGTAATCAGTGGTTTTCGTCGGTTGCTGTCTTTCATATTATTTTTTTTTGATTATTGTTTTGTCATGAATTAGGCCTTTGGTTTGTTTTGATTCGAAAAGGTTCACATCATGTCATGTTGGGGGCCTTGTATAGCTGACTATACTGTATGGGGTTTTGCTTATTGTTGAAGTCAGTAGCGTGGTGTCCTATAAATGCTAATATCCATTTGATTTGAACTCTGTTGGTTAGTTGTCTCTTTGGCAATCATACCGCATGTGCTTATCTTATATCTCTATACCATGTGATCCAAATCAAACTGAATTTTATTGTTTTAATGTCTTCTAGAAGGTTTATGCAGACGATTGTGAGATATTTTTTTTTGCCAAAATTTTATATAATCAGTTAGATCTAAAAACTCTGCAAAAAAGATATATGTACATGTAATTAGAATTGGATATCACCTTTCTATATAGGCTTTTCTGATACATTACAAGCACAACTACGTTTTGATGACATGCCAAATGTAATAACCTAAGCGTTTGATGTAAATTCAAAATTTTAGAAAAGGCTGTTTATATGCTTTTTGATTTTTTAAAACAATTATATATAAGCTAAATTCCTACCGCAAATTTGTTGTTTAGATATGGGCAAAAGCTAAAAGGCTAAAAATCCTCATTTTCAAATAAAAATTGCAATATTTTAACCAGGAATTCCCGATAAACCCTTTGCATACTGTTTATTAATAAAAAAAAAAGTACAAATAATTATTTCCCTATAGTGCGCAAGTTCATCTTAAGGAATTTAGCTTATATATAATTGTTTTAAAAAATCAAAAAGCATAAGAACAACCTTTCTAAAATTCACATTACAGACTGTTGTAGTGTTAGGTCAAGCATCATAACATGAATAATTTGTTTGTATAAAGGATTTTTTTACCGTGAGAATGAGTAAGTTTAATAAGCCTTTGTAATTACATAGCATACATGATGGGTTTTTTTGTTAGGATTTGGGCTAATCCACATTCAAATCAACTATCTCTCTTACATGTATCAACTTTTGCCCTTATTTCAAGTACTTTATTTTGACATGAAAACAAAGCTTAACTATAACATATTGTAATTTTTTATAACTTGTTTTATACAAATAATCGCTCCTAAAATTTACAATATTTACATTTCCCTTGTTGAATGCAATTACCTTGTTGTTACATTTAAAAATAATTATTTCAACAATTAGCTGAAGACATGTTTTGTTAAAATTTACTGGTGCGAAAGTTGATTTAAAGTCATGTTTCCCTTTGGAATTGACGTATTCTGAACTTTTTGATAAGGCCAAGTGGTGAATTAGAATACTAATTATTCTTATTCTTTACACTGAGCTTGTACTAGAAAATAATGAAGCTGTTGATTTTTTGCATATTATATTATTTAAAGCGATCGCGATATTAAGTTTTACCTAAGTGTTCATGCTGGATGAACGCTTTGTTTTATGTAGATTATGTGCAGAAATCCCGCAAGGTGTATACGCATGAAATTTGGGTTTTATTTTGTATCTTAAATACTGAAATCTATGTCCGAAAATAACTTGCTCTTTGGTTTTATTGTCATTTGTGAAAGATATCTGAAAACGTTTCTTCATTTGATATTCTTCATGTTATAACGATACAATAAATTTTGGAGAAAACGTGAATGAAGCAGCATCTAAACTACTCAGGTTAACCATAATAGAAAATGAATGCACAGAATTAACTTTATGGACCTCATTATAAAATTATGAAACATTTATATCATTTTATATATCTCTTATTTTGTACAAATTCAAACTTGTAATTGAGCGATTGACGGCAGTTTGTCGTTCAGCTGGAAATATAACATGTTCAATCAGTACTTTAACATGTTATAGTAAATGGAAATTTTCTTAATATGCTTTAAAGGTTCCAACTTGAATCCAAAGTTTACCGAAGATTTGTATGTCCCTTTTGTTCTACATGTTCTAAAAGCTTTTCACCTTAGTTTCTTCAGCGTGTTCAGTAAAATTTTCAAACATATTAAACTGAGAAATGATCAAAACATATATTATGATTAAAACCAGTGCCGAAATGCCTATGGGAAATATGATACACTCATGGAAATAAAAGTCCACCAGCAGTGATACATGCTACCAATGCAGTATATTACTCCCCTTGATCTTAATGTTGGCGTTTGCTTACAGCCCGATGTTATCAATAGCGAACACAAGTGTATTGAAATATCATAAAATTAACTTGCTAACACCAAGACTATTTTATTGCTGCTTTTATTTCATAAAAGTGACTGTTTATGTTTTGAAATAAAAATGAAAAATGGAAACAGTCAAATGTATTTATTTTCATTCTCAGGATAAATGGAATGCATAAAAAGCTTGAAATGTCCTGCAGATAGTTTAAAATTTATAACATCTAACCCACTATCCACATATTTAAGTTTAACATTTAAATTTATCTAATTTTCATCTGTCTTTGAATTCGTTTTGCAAATGTATATATCGTAAATGTAAATTGAGTTTAACACCAGACAAAATGTTGTATTGAATACAGAAATAAATGAAAGCCACAAAAAATATATGTTTACAAGATTTTTTACGATAATACTTACCATTATAGCTACCTTTTTGCCTCTTTCTTTCCAAAATGCAAAATGTTTCTAAATCCAATGTCAATTCATAACTAACTTTAAACTCTTACTTGTCTATGGTCTCCACTTATTCAAGAGTATATCTGGATAATAGATAATGTTTTGACAACAACATAAAAAGGTTATTTAAAATTTTGGTTTACATTGACATGGTTGACAATAACTTACATTTGTAATTAAAAGAGACTTTTAAAATCTAAAGGGAATTAAACTATATTGATACTCATATGATATCGTCTAATATTTAGTTTCCTTTAAAACCAAACGTACAAAATATACATCTGCAGTATGTATAAATGAATATTTATAGGTCGATAGCATCATCATGTGATACCAAACTGAGTGGTAAATTGTCGCTTGAAGTCTAAACTTCGGTCTTTACATTGTAATTTATTTGTTGATGTAGATAAAAGTAGGTTAATTCTCAACATATTTTTTTGTTTGTTTACCAAGTCATATTACATAGATATTTCAAAAGAATTCAATCATTTTTTAATTGGAATTTAACAATATCGTGGTATTTGAAACGTCACATGCATGATTACACGTGCTCTCCATGACAAAGTTATAACAATGCGTATGAATATTTAAAACAAAACTAACGGAAAGCTTGATTACACTATGGAATTATAAGAACGGAATGCTTTGCTTTGTAGTTTATTAGAAAAAAAGTATACCAAGGGGACATTAAGTTGAGATAAACTGACAAAGTCATGAAAAGATCCAAATATTATAGGCTTGTAAAAGCATTGACATCTCGACCAAAATAGTTGAACAAAGGGCCTTACTAACGTGAACTTAACTCCTTATAAACCGAAAACGCATCTTCAATTCTAAAGTATTCAATCTAGGGTTATGCCAGACAATCTAGGGTTATGCCAGACAATCTAGGGTTATGCCAGACAATCTAGGGTTATGCCAGACAATGACCAAAGCACGAAAAAGGGAACGATGTTACTAATTCCAAATGGGTTGATGTTGATACAAATCGGATTTCAAAAACTTAATGCGTCTCAAAAATTCATGTTGCATCTATCTTCAAAGAACTGAATTTATCTAAACACCTGTTCTATCTACATGACAAATATGTAAGTGGTTTAAAAGGCCACAGACGCAGCCCCGAACAATACCGTTTTGGGGAATAACGTATTAATAAATTCATTTGGAAACCTTACACAAACTACCATAACACTTCAACGGCTTAGAATTCTGTTTTACATTAATTTGGTATTTCAATCAAATATGTCAAACTGGATCTTCCTTCATCCTACTGGATACCCACATTACATAAATGTCTTTATTTAAAATAACGTTGTAATGCTAGATCTGCCAAATGCTCCACGAAACTTCTTTTCGGAATTATTATCTTCCTTTTTGTAAGCAAACGGTCTTTTGAGTAACTGTTCAGCTATCTATTCTTCGGTGGTTTGAATCGGATGCGGATACTAAAAACTTTCAAAGATCTATTAAAAAAGTACACATACAAATAACGATTAACACTAAAGAGAAAATCATGAATAATCATAGGTCTGTTAAATGTTCGTTTTAACTTTCCACCAAAGATGTCGAACTAGCGGTTAAATTCAGATGCGTATACTAAAAACTTCCAAAGATCTGTTAAGGCTACAAACAATTAAGTCCCTTTTCTTAAGCAAGAGTACACAAACTTTGATTTATGTATCTTTACACAAATTTTCCTCATTCTACACTTAAAGAGAGATTAACGAACTAGGCCAACATTGTTTCATAAAAACGAATTGTAAACGTTGGATACAAATATCTAGTTTAAGATGAGGACAAAGCATACTTTGCGAAAACCTTTCTACATATTACTTTGGGAAAACCTTTCTACATATTACTTTGGGTAAACCTTTCTACATATTACTTTGGGAAAACTTTTCTACATATTACTTTGGGAAAACCTTTCTACATATTATTTTGGGAAAACCTTTCTACATATTTGCTACGTTTTGTTGACATTTTTGCAAAGACCATTGACGCATAACTAACTGTGCCATTCTTCCTGTCAATTTTTTCATTTATTCGTTTTCGGCATACTGGAGACTGTACAGAAAAAAGTAAAAAGCTAGCATTATCCTTCAATTTCATATTCTTAAAAAGATGATGTCCTCTTTGAGAGTAATTAAACTTTGGTGACTCTTTTCATCGCATCTATCCCATTGAAGTTGAAATAAAGAATACCAAAAATAGTTTAATTTGCTTCAAAACTTGACTTGCATATAAAAACTAAAGATGAGCATCGGTTGAACCTAACCTTACGACAACAGATATAATTTTAATTTTCCCAATGTGCATTTCTGTTTAGCAACATTCAAGCAGCACCTACAGATATTTCAGTTGATACGATATCTATGGGCTTCTGTTTCCTCCTCAGACCTCTTTTCTTTGATTATGACAACAAAAAATACAACTTACCACTGAACTTATCCATCATTTGGGGTTTTTTGTATAGTATTTTTTTGGTTTTTGGTTTTTCGTTATTCTTCTGACCCTGAATAGTGTGTTTTGTCGATATTCTTCTAACCACTGATTTGGTCTCTTTTCTCATTTCCCATTTTTGTCCTTGTGCTAAATGTAATGGATGCTAACAGTATAAGAAGCATCCAAGTCTTGAACGAGAGATGAAATACGGACTGATAATTCTTGACTAATTTATGTATTGTAATTAATGAGCATTTAGCAATTTAAAATTGTCAACAATTACGTTTTCACTTAGCACATAGCCAATTCATTCAGAAAATCTCATTAAAAGAGAAAAAAAAGTAGCATACCATGTTTGTCCCAACTGGTCAGTTAATCTATTTTAACAGTATCATACAACCAGTTTTTACTTATAAAATATTTAGTGTTCCATATATTTGATAGTCCACAATTATCAAGCACAGATTTTACATTCTTACACCAAGCTATATTTCCATTATAACTACCAGTAACAAGATTGTATAGAATAACAGGAAGTTTCTTTTCTTCTCCAGTTACAAGCTTTGCCCAATAATTAATAGTACGTAATTTAATAAAAATATCCAGTTGGAATCGGCCAAGTTCCCCATATATCATGTAATCAGGAGTAGATTTTTAAGATTAAGCAGTAGTTTACAAAATTTTAGATGAACACGTTCTACAACAGAGGTGTTACCCATTCCCCAGACTTCACACCCGTACAATAATATCGGCTTAACTACTTTGTCAAATAATTCTAGTTGTCATTTAATGTTTAAATTATGTAATCTCCCCTTTTTTAGAATACCGTACATAGCCCTTATTGCTTTCTCAGCTTGTGCCTTTTTGATTTTGTGAAACTTCCTGTTCTAGAATATAATACACCAAGATATGTAAATTCTTCAACAATATCTAACTCAATATCAGCATATTTAAAAATAACATTTTGTAGTGGTCTACCTTTAGAAAAAATTACTATTTTGCTTTTTGGGACATTGACTTTCAATTTCCATTTATCACAATATTCCTTTAAAGCGTCTAATTGTTTTTGTAGATCTGCTTGTGTTTCTGACATAAGTACAGTGGCGTCTGCGTACAATACAACAAACAGTTTAAATACATATTTCGCTCGTTCTCTATTTGATCTGATAAAGATTTCAAACCATTTATATTTTTGTTCTGAAAAAAACTTTTCAAATCATTTAAATAAATAGAGAAAAGTATAGGAGATAAATGTTCCCCCTGTCTTACACCTACATTACATGGAAAGTAATCTGAATATTCACCATCACTGAAAATTCGTGATTTGACATTTTTATATATACATATTAACTATAGTATTATACATCTTCCCATTTACTGTATGTAAAATGAGTTTTGACCAAAGACCAGATCTCCAAACTGTTTCGAATGCTTTAGCAAAATCAATAAAAGCACAAAAAAGTTTTACTTTTATTGTCTCAATAGTTCAAATAAAATATCCAGAGTAAATATGCTGTCTATAGTGGAATAGCCCTTTCTGAAACCAAACTGGTTTTTTGATTTAACAACAAATATTCTTCCAAAAAATTACTAAGTCTTGAATTCAAAATTGACGTGAAAAGTTTACCCATACAGCTTAATATAGTTATTGGTCTGTAGTTTTGATGATCTGATTGGTCACCTTTGTTTTTATAAAAAGGTATAACATTACCAACGAGCCAAAGTTCAGGCACTTTTCCAGTATCAAATACAATATTGAACAGTTTTACATAGATTGGCATGGAAATCTGGGTGGTGCTCTTAATATATTCATTAATAATGAAGTCATCACCACAAGCTTTGCCATTCTGAAGATTTTTAATGCATTTAAAAATTTCATTTTCCGTAATAGGACTGTTTAATAGTGAATTAAGTTCGTTATTCTCATCTGGAATTGTTTTTTCACCAGCGTCAGAATCTCACGAATTTAAATTTTTGAAAAATTCAAAAAGTATATCAACAGGAATATCATTCCTTTTTTTTTTCTTTATACGAGTTCAATATCTTCCTAAATTCTTAAGAATTACTATTTTTTAAAACATTTATCTTTTTTCTCATGGCTTTTTTATGCTTATTAATAGAAATGTTCATTTGCCTCTTATATTCACGTTCTGTATTCTTCATCTCCTCTCTTTTTAAACATGTTCTATTGTATTTAATATATCTTCTTTTTGCTATTCAAAAGCACCGCCTTTTTTCCCAACATATTTGGTCAAACCAAGGTTTAATAACTTTTCTTCGACATTTTTTTTTTCATGTCGTTTATAACAAAATGATTCAAACACCTTTTCGGATGATTCCAGCACTAAACCATTTACAGATTCAACTATTTTATTAATATTTTCTTGAGCCAGTATACTGGTATTCAACATAGTTAAATCATTATTTAATTGATCGATTTTTTTTTCATCGATATTTCTCAGAAATTCGGCTTCTTGTTCACGATCCCATTTTTTGAAGCCCTTTCTTTCATGGCATGCCAAATCGTTTATTAAAATGTCATCGCATTCGTCGACATTATCAATCGATTTGAAGACTAGCTACAGTTCAGAGGCGAATGAACATCGGAAAAAGAACAGAAAAATCATGTACAGACATATTTAAAACACATGATAACAAATTATATGTACATATAAAATAGTCAACCACACTA